CTACATACACGGATATATACTTTTGAAGTTACATTGGGAGATATAGGACTGATAAGTAAATAAACTACATTGAATTAGTCATGCAGAAAGACAGGTGCGAATGTTTTTCCAGGTCATGTTCAATTAGATAAGGGGAGAGGGAGTATGGGAGATCAAAATTAAGATAAATTGCATTACGCTTCAATTACATCACTTAGATAAACAATTAGACATTAGAGAATTTAACAAGAATTGCAACCAGAGGGATGTCAATAGTAATACTTATAATGACAATAATAATAATAGTGTTTAAGTGCGTTAACATAATGCTACTGATAAAGGATAGTTTTAAATGAATCAAGAATAATAATAATAAGAGGTAGAATTATAATTAAAACGTAATACTATGGTAGATTCAGAGTCACCACCATCTCCTTTTGTACACAGAGACTCGAATTGCAATTCGAGTTTACAAACCAGGTCTCTGTGTACAAAAGGAGATGGTCGTGACTCTGAATCTACCATGGTAATATGTTTTACTTATAATTCTACCTCTTATTAGTATTTTATTATTACTATTATTATTCTCATTATTATTATTCTTGATTCATTTAAAACTATCCTTTATCAGTAGCATTATCTTAACTCACTTCAACACGAAATGCATTAAAGGAGAAAGCTCAGAACCGCCGTCAGCGTCTTCAAGATTCCCACCGTTACCAAATGTTCGATAGAGATGCAGATGAAATGCAATCATGGATATCAATAAAACTTGAAAACGCACTTGGTGAAAGTTACAAAGACTCCACGAATTTGCAAACAAATATGCAGAAGCACCAGAATTTCGAGGCAGAAATACAAGCGAACCAATCCCGCGTCGAAGATATTAAAAAGACAGGTCAGGATTTGTTAAATGGAAACCACTACAACTCACCAGAAATAAAAGTAAAGATTGAACAGTTGGATGAAACTTGCTCTCATCTCGTAAATGTCATGGGAGACAAGAAGAAAAATTTAGATCAAGCAAGTAGGCAACAAGAGTTCGCTCGCAACGTAGAAGATGTCGAGTTATGGTTGAATGATGTTGAAGCTCATATAGCCTCAGAGGATGTCGGTCGTGATCTAAACGGTGTGATGAACGTACAAAAGTGGCACAACTTGCTTGAATCTGATGTAGCTACTCATCGTGAACGTATAGATACATTCAAAGTCCAGGCTGACACGCTTGCTGCAGAAGGTCATTTCGACGCTCCTATTATCCAAGTAAAACAAAGACAGTTAGCCCAATGTTACCATGACGTCCCTCTAAGTCAAAATCGTGAGAAGTTAAGAGATGCCCTTCCCTCGGACACACCTTTGCAGCTTGAATATATGGTGACTATAGTGAGCTGATGAAGTTATTAGTCGATTGTTGTAAAGATTTTAAAGCACATTCGCTTAACCAAATCGAATCAGAAATGTATCATCAGTATGCTGAAAGCTTCACTACTGGCTCAGTAGCCACTCACAAGGATGCCTTCAGGTTATGGGTTAAAGATAAGAACCCTGTTGTTGAAAACTACATTGGTTTTATAGAGTCATACCGTGATCCCTTTGGTGTTCGTGCAAGGTTTGAATCCTTTGTCGCTGTTGTAAATAGATCAGTGTCTAAAAAATTCCAACGACTTGTAAGTAATGCTGAAAGGTTGTTAACAAATTTACCATGGCCTTCTACATTTGAAAAGGTTAATTTCTTACAGCCAGACTTTACTAGTTTGGATGTAGTGACGTTTGCAACTGCTGGAATTCCTGTTAGAACTAATATTCCTAACTATGATGATGTACGACAAGTTGATGGATTTAAAAATGTTTCTTTGAATAATGTACTTAGTGTTCGTCTCGAGGATCCTAAACCAGAATTTCTACGTAATGAAGACAAACAAATGTACGTGGAACATGCTGAAAGTTCCTTTGAATTACAAGTCGAACTTCATGAACTGATGGGATATGGTTCAGGTAAACTGTTTCGGCGTGATTGCTATGGAAAACGAAATTTCCACACGAAAACTACTGAATATGTCATAAATGGAGGTCCTGTAAAAAGTTGGTGTGAACCAGGAGAAACGTATGACAGCAAGTTTTTAAACCTCTCATCTGCAATAGATAAGT